TTCCTCTCAACAGCATTTAAGAATATCAGTATTAACAACTCCGTTGGCAACCACTTTATCTTTGCTTATCTGATGAGACCAGTGATGCTCGTTTTAATTCACATTTTGTTAGCTGTAAATGCATGTGAGTACCTTTTTTGTGGGTTTACTAGCCATTTGCTTTTCTGTTGCTGTGAGTTACCTCTTACTAATAGTAGTGCAAACTGTGCTGAGGGGTCCCTCTGAAGGACTGAAATTCTCATTCCTTCAGCTGCTGTACATGCAGGTAGCAGAAGGAACTCGGCCTTCAGCCGCTTTCTTGGATTGCTTCAGCTGAAAACAGCCCCCTGGTCAAGGTCACGTCCCTTTCTCAGGATATCCCATATCCAAGGGCTACTCAATGTGGAACTGTGAAAGCTCAGCCCCTTTGTTACCAGTTGGATGGCCATCCCAGCTGCAGGCTGCCAGCGGGGCCAGCTGAGGTCCTCCTTGTGATTGCACCTGGCACCTGGTTCCTTTCCTTCTTCTGTGGGCGTTGACCCTGAGAACACTCACCATAAACCTGCACGCTATTCTCCAACTCCTAAATCTGCTTTCCAGAGAGCCCAAAGCAGGACACTAACCGTACCCGTTTTTACACAAGCTTCTTGTTCTTTTTCTAATGATATGAAAGTACTCTGTTTAGAAGAAATTAGCCTTTTGTCTGGCATGTGAGGTGCAAATATTTGTGCCACTTTGTCATTTGCTTTTCACTTTGTTTTTGATATTCTTTGCCTTTTAAAAGTTTCAAATGCTACTGCAAATTTACCAGTTTTCTTTTTTTCCTCTTTTATCTTTTACGGCATTTGGTTTTTGTCCCTTGCCAGGTAGAGACTTCCTTATGCTAAGATTATTATTTTTCCAATGTTCTTTTTTTTCTTCTAAGATCTTTATTTTTTTCGTTTGGGTTTTTGAGCCATCTGGGATTTATTTTGATGTAAGATATGAGAACAGAACCAGCATTAGTTTCCCCCTAGTAACTGGCCAATTACATCAATATATTTATTGGATAATCCATCATTCTCCCACATTTGAAATGCCAAATTTATTATATAATAATTTCTGTGTGCATAATGTTTTTGAACTATTTTTTGCCCCATTTTTCTGACTGTTGTTTTGCTAGTAACAAACTGTTCTAATTGCCTTAGCTTTATAGTATGTTTTAATATCCAGTAGGGTTAATAACACCATATTTCAGAATTTTCCTGGCAATTCTCACAGGTTAATATTTCATGTGCATTTTAGCATTCACTTTCCAAGTTTTGAAGTAATTCTTGGCATTTTTATTGGGATCACATGAAATTTATGGAGTAATTTAGTGGGGAGTAACGTCTTTACAAAGAGTCTTTCCATCTAATAATGAAGCATATCTTTCCATTAATTTGTCATCTTTTATGTCTCTGTAGGATTTAGAATTTTTCTTCTTATGCATTCTATATGTTTTTAAAACGTATTTTTGGAAATGTATGCCCTTTTTGCTCTTGTAAATGGTATCTTTCTTATGTGTATTTAATTGGCGTTTGTTCCTGTAAGAAAAGCTATTTTTGTATTCTAGTTTTATAATCATCTACCTTACTTTCAATGTTTTCATTAATTTTCAGTTGATTCTGTTTGGTTTTTAGGTAGACATACGTATCATCTGCAAAAACAATAATTTTGCCTCTTTCAAATTTTTATTATTCATGTCTTTCTCTTCATTGACTGGTATTAATCAGAAAGCATAACATTATAGAGCACTGATAGTGACCATTCTTGTCTTAATAGGATTGCTTCTTATGTGTAATTAAGCATGGTTTGGACTTTTGAGTTGAGATACATTTATATTTATGCCTCTCTTTTCCATATTAAAAATATATCTATTTTATTAAGGGCTTATTAAATCAGAGTGGATTTTGATTTTATCAAATGCTTTTTAGCATCTGTGGAGATGATCATGTGGTCTTTCTCCTTCAACTTGTTGATATTATGAATTACAGAAGTAGAATATCTGTTTTTGTTTTGTTTTTTTGAGACAGAGTCTTGCTCTGTCACCTGGGTTAGAGTGCAGTGACGTTGTCATAGCTCACTGCAACCTCCAGCTCCTGGGCTCAAGTGATCCTCCTGCCTCAGCCTCCAGAGTAGCTGGGACTATAGGTGCATGCCACCACACCCGGCTAATTTTTTCTATTTTTAGTAGAGATGAGATCTTGCTCTTGCTCTCGCTCAGGCTGGTCTTGAACTTCTGACCTCAGGAGATCCTCCTACCTCAGCCTCCCAAAGTGCTAGGATTACAGGCGTGGGCCACTGCGCCCAGTTTAATTTCTGTTCTTGAGTGAGCCTGGTATCCCTAAAATAAATCCTATTTGGTTGTGATATGTTATTCTGTTATTGCACTGATGGACTCAGTTTGCTAATGTTTGAGTTAATATTTTTACATCATTATTTATAAGTTAGATTGATCTGGATTTGGGTTATTCTTGTCAGGTTGGAAATCAGTGTTATATCTGTTTTGGAAAAACACCTTAAAAGTTTTCTTTCCAGAATGCACATTTAAATATTTTAATGTGAATCAGCATGAAGCAGCTGATTGTTAGTGTCTTTGTCAGTGCTTACCTAAACATGTTTTTTAGAGGAAAATATTTGATAAGTTACAGTTGATAATCGTCAAGGTTGGACCTGTCTTATTCAAAATGAAAAAGGAAGACGGAGGGGCTAACAGATATATATTCCTGAGGAATCGAGAGATGCCAGAGAAGCTAAGAAATATTCCTGCAAATGCTAAGAGGGAGCTGTGGGATTCAGCTTAAACACTCTGGGAATCCACAGAAAAATCTTGGAGATGTTTTGGGTAAAAACAATGACAACAGAAAAACTTTATATATGGTCTAGATTATATGTAGTGTAGAATTATGAATCCTTGTATGTTCACCCGATTTAGCCTCCTGTCCCTCCCACTTCCTGCTTAGCCCAGGACCCACCTGGCAACACTTACCTGCTCGGGCATCGGGTTCTCTTTCCACACCTGAGCCTCCCCTGTGTGCGGCAGCTCCTTGTTAAGGATCTGTGAGTGCAGTCCAAGCTCAAATGAAGGCTTGTTGCTGTGCCTTTTGCAGTTGACCTGCTTGTATCTTACAGGGTGATTTGAGAATACTTAAACCCAAAGCAGTGAGTAGGGACCCACCAGGCAGGCTGGCAGGACTGTTTTGAGTGCCTGATGGAGCCATGCTCCCCATTTCTCACTCTGGCAGTTCCAGGTAGGGTCAGTCTTGTCCTTATGCAATCAAGCCACGCTGCCATTTGACTCAGCCTCGGCAGTCTTACATCTCTGAAGGTACTGACTCCTTTTTTAAAGTCTTTTGGAGGTTTCTCCTCCAATAGATTTCTAAAATTAAAAAAAAATAAAGTTGCATTTTTCTGTGTTTTTTTTTTTTTCCTCTTTCTCTTTTTTTTCCCTCTTTCTCCTTTTTTCCTCTTTCTCTTTTCTCCCCATGGATTCAAATAGTTGACCCCAACATAGTTTTCCGTTGTATGGCCTTGAATTTATGTAGTGTAGTGGGACAATACACTGCTGACCAGCTCGAGAAAGGACATAGGGTATCAGGGAAAGGGAAACTAACAACTAGCAAGTTTCAGTTACTAGGGAAAATCAGTAACTCAAGAGATTCCCAAGAACTAAGGCAACATCTTTCCCTTATTGTGAACCAATCAATAAAGTGTCCACACAAGGAATCACAGAGCATAACATTCTCATCTTCTATTCAAATTTGTTTGTGAAGCTACTCTTTTATTTAAAGCCATAAGCTGTTCAGTGACATTTCTGGGAACTTATCTTTAAGATAAAGTGCTGGTCAGTGGGATTAAACATTGGATCATTTTGCAGCATTTTTAGATTTTCTTTTCAAACTCTCTGGGTCTCTCTCTGCTAGTCCTTAGCAATTGTGTTGGACTTTATAACAGGGCAGACGGTTACATAATAACATGTGTATTGGCTTAAAATCATTACATAGTCACAAATGGTTCTGATAAATACTTCATTCTAAATTCTGCATTGATTCCAAACTTAACTGATCATAAAAAATTTACTCCCAGTAACATAGGTTGAAGGACTTAATGTATAAAATAAATCTATGGATGTTGCATTAGCCCCAGAAGTCAATATTGCACCCCTTTGTAAAGTCTATAAATATATCTCTGAAATATGAATAGTGTTTTGAAATGTAGACAGAATTCCTTGATCAGTTTTTGGCTTTAAAAATAAAGAGGATTTTTTTTTTTGGGTCCAATTTACACTTTTCTGTTGTGATACTAACAGATAAGGGTACTGCAAATAGAATGGAAGTTGGTAGGATTTAGGGTTCTGAAAGGAGGTTTCTTATGTGAAAAACAGCTTTTCTTGACAAGCTGCTTGTCAAGGTTTTCAACAGCCTCTCTTTTCATTTATTTATTTGGTTTGAGAGAGTTAGGAAGGTGTTTGGTGTATTTTGTGCTGGCAGCTCACACGTCAAAAACACAAGACTAAAAATACTCCCCAAATATGAATATACAGTAGTTCCTTCTTCCTTTTTGTTTTCTTTCCCAGAGTACCAGTGTTATAATAAAACCTAGACAAAGAGCTGACCCCTGGGAACGCCGCTGTGAGTTTTCTCTGCTCCCATTCATAACCCTACATTGGCTATGTCTTGCTAAGGTCTTTGGGGCCCCTTTGTAATTTAGTATCTTACCAAGGCCTCCTCCATGCGTTGGAACATTCCTTTTCTGTTCACCATCGGAGCATACCTTTTCTGGTCCCATTGCTTTGTATCAAGGCACCGTTTGGGAGTTGGAGCAAAGAACCACTGAGGAGTGAGGTAGCCATTATATCCGGGTGGGAACATCTTGCAGACGTCCCCAAACTACGGCCCCGTGGGCCACATCCGGGTGTTTTTGCCCGTTTGTTTTTTTTACTTCAAAATAAGATATGTGGCGTGTGCATAGGAATTTGTTCATAGTTTGGTTTTTTAAACTATAGTTCAGCCCTCCAATGGTCTGAGGGGCAGTGAACTGGCCCCCTGTTTAAAAAGTTTGGGGACCCCTGTGACTTAAAGTATTTGCTGAAGGAGATGGCATTTAACCGGGATTGTTAAGGATGAGTAGAATTTCAAAGGGGGGATTATTATTCAATTCAGGCACACCTCCACGTGCTGGTATGTTAAGTACCCCTACCAGGCAACATAATTCCTTTAACCTACCTTAAAAGCACCTGTCCCCAGAGGTCTTAATGGGATCATGGTATCGTTGAAAACTTGGGGTCCCGTGGTTGGCCTTCCTCCGCCTGTATATAAAGGTTCTCCTTTATTGAAAGCCATAAGCTGTTCAATGACATTTCTGGGAACTTATCTTTAAGATAAAGTGCTGGTCAGTGGGATTAAACATTGGATCATTTTGCAGCTTTTTTAGATTTTCTTTCAAACTCTCTGGGTCTCTCTCTGCTAGTCCTTAGCATTTGTGTTGGACTTTATAACAGGGCAGATGTTACATAATAACATGTGTATTGGCTTAAATCATTACAGTCACAAATGGTTCTGATAAATACTTCATTCTAATTCTGCATTGATTCCAAACTTAACTGATCATAAAAAATTTACTCCCAGTAACATAGGTTGAAGGACTTAATGTATAAAATAAATCTATGGATGTTGCATTTAGCCCCAGAAGTCAATATTGCACCCCTTGTAAAGTCTATAAATATATCTCTGAAATATGAATAGTGTTTGAAATGTAGACAGAATCCTGATCAGTTTTTGGCTTTAAAAATAAGAGGATTTTTTTTTTGGTCAATTTACACTTTTCCGTTGTGATACTAACAGATAAGGGTACTGCAAATAGAATGGAAGTTGGTAGGATTTAGGGTTCTGAAAGGAGGTTTCTTATGTGAAAAACAGCTTTTCTTGACAAGCTGCTTGTCAAGGTTTTCAACAGCCTCTCTTTTCATTTATTTATTTGGTTTGAGAGAGTTAGGAAGGTGTTTGGTGTATTTTGTGCTGGCAGCTCACACGTCAAAAACACAAGACTAAAAATACTCCCCAAATATGAATATACAGTAGTTCCTTCTTCCTTTTTGTTTTCTTTCCCAGAGTACCAGTGTTATAATAAAACCTAGACAAAGAGCTGACCCCTGGGAACGCCGCTGTGAGTTTTCTCTGCTCCCATGCATAACCTCACATTGGCTATGCCTTGCTAAGGTCTTTGGGGCCCCTTTGTAATTTAGTATCTCACCAAGGCCTCCTCCATGGGTTGGAACATACCTTTTCTGGTCCCATTGCTTTGTATCAAGGCACCGTTTGGGAGTTGGAGCAAAGAACCACTGAGGAGTGAGGTAGCCATTATATCCGGGTGGGAACATCTTGCAGACGTCCTCAAACTACGGCCCCGTGGGCCACATCCGGGTGTTTTTGCCCGTTTGTTTTTTTTACTTCAAAATAAGATATGTGGCGTGTGCATAGGAATTTGTTCATAGTTTGGTTTTTAAAACTATAGTCCAGCCCTCCAACGGTCTGAGGGGCAGTGAACTGGCCCCCTGTTTAAAAAGTTTGGGGACCCCTGTGACTTAAAGTATTTGCTGAAGGAGATGGCATTTAACCGGGATTGTTAAGGATGAGTAGAATTTCAAAGGGGGGATTATTATTCAATTCAGGCACACCTCCACGTGCTGGTATGTTAAGTACCCCTACCAGGCAACATAATTCCTTTAACCTACCTTAAAAGCACCTGTCCCCAGAGGTCTTAATGGGATCATGGTATCGTTGAAAACTTGGGGTCCCGTGGTTGGCCTTCCTCCGCCTGTATATAAAGGGATCGAAGCCAGAACCAACTTTTATTCCTCTGTCTTTGCATTTTTGGCAGTGAGCAGACACTGGTAAAAATGAGACAATTGACATGTTGAAGAGAAAATTTTCTTTCTGGAAAAATAAGTTTGACGTTGTACATTCAGTGTACTGTGAATGTATATGCACACAAGTGGTTACATTTATAGCAGTACGGGCTGAGAATGTGCAAATGAAGTCTGAGAAGTGCCAAATGGTTCCCTCCAGCATCTCACAGAACTTTTCTGGTGTGAGAGGAACTTCCAATCAGGTAACAATTCCTTTCAGTCCAATTTATTAAACTATATTTTAAGAGGAAAGAAACCTAGGTCAGCGGGGCTAGAATTTTAAGAAAACTAAACTAAAAGCTTTCGGCAGGGGCATCTTTTAAATTTTTTTCCCACTGATTTATTTTCAGGTTCTTCTCTCCCATGAAATCGTAGGCTCGCTCTGTCTCTCCGGCCCTGGTGCCAGCCACCGGGGCAGGACAGCAGGGGAGTGCTGTCCTGTGCTATAGTCTCTGGATTTCATGAAGAGGTTGGTGAGCAAAAGGTTCACCCGAAGTTCTCTTCGCAGAATCGAGCTCATCAGATCCTCCGAAATGCTGTGCTCCCCACGGCATGAATGAAGTCTCATAAAGTCACAGGGTTACCATCTGCTGCCAGCGTAGGTGGCCTCTGGTTTGACTTCAGCACATTTTCTCACCTGGAAATCAGAAAGCCTTCTATTAATGTATCCAAAAGTTAACGTGTTAATAATACCTTCTCCTTCCTTTTCTTTGTCCCAGTCTCACTTTTGTGAGTTAAATACTTTTTATTCTTTTATTTCTCTGTTGGTTTGCTTATTTTCATTTTCTAAGAAAGCAAGCAAGACTTTGGGTCTTTTAAGGCAAAATATGCTGGTTCTGCTTAGTAAAGTTAGACCGGTGTTTCCCAAACTGTGTTCCGTGGAACACTGGTGATTGGTGAGGTCGTTGTAGTTGTTTTGTGGGAAATCGTTCTGCAGTCAGTTTAGTCTGGGGAAACACTATCTGCGGTATCTCCCTCTTGTTGCATCTCAGCGCATATTAACATATTACAGATGGCAAAGTCTGCAGCTGAAAAAGAAGTTATTAACTTTGTATAGCCCAGCATTTGCAGAACAATTTTTTTTTTTTTGCTTAGAATTTTTTTCTCCCCTCAGAGCACCTCTTAACATCCCGAGGGGCACAAATGTTCCACAGAACACCGTACAGACCCTGCAGAAAAAGACCCTTCTCTCATCTTGTAGGAACTTACCTATCTGTGGTTCACGAGCTTTTTGCTGGTGGTAGCAGTTTGATCTGGAGGCATGAAGGGACTGAGATTTCTTGCAGTCTAAAAGCGCACACATTTTCCGTCAAGGACTTGCAAAGATCTGTGCTTAAAACAGGCCGAGTTGCAACTTGAGCATTTTCAGAGTGGTCTTCTTTACCCTAGGGGAGTAATGACAGCCAACCTGAAGCAGTTAAGTTTTTATCTTGTATGAAGTCTGCTCCCTGAATATTTTTATTCATACATCATTCAGCATACACGAAACCAGCTAGCTCCATCCCACGTCTACGTGAGTCACTTTTTTTAAGTACTTTTTTTTTGAAAAGTGTCTCATGCACATAGATAATTAGAGAGAGAGAGAGAGAGAGAAAACAAGTAAAAATAAATCATGTTGTTTAATTTAAAAACCCAAATGAATCTTAAGAACCAAATACATATGTTTCTCACTTTCTTGGATTACCAAGAACTACCACCTTTGTTCAAGATCCTATTTGAGGCACGTGAGTTAGTGTTTTTTTTACCATAAAAATGAATGATATGGAAACAGCATGTCAAAATAGAGGTGACACTGTATTACTCAATATAAAGAAAGCATGGAAAAGTCCACTGTAACCATATGCGCCAGGTTAACAGACCCCTGTATTTCTCTTTCCAGAAATAATTATGTTGTTCCGATAGAAAGTAACTTTCCAATTTATGTGTTCCTCTTTCAAGATTCTTGCCCAGGAAATGGGATGTTTAAAGTTATTCATTATTGTGGAGTGGATTTACTGATTGTGTGATAGTTATGTCAGAATTGGTAACCTGTTATTACCTATTATTTCATCATTAACTTTAATGCATGAAATGTGTAATTTTATAGCTGTCCATTACTATGTTAATTTAATGTAATGCGAATTGATTGTTCAGCAAGAGCGGCACTCATCTAAGCACACATTTTAAATTTAAAAACGCTAAGTGCAGTTTAACTCTGTTCTGGGCCCTGAGAGGAACTGCGTTTTGGGCTCCGCAGAACACCTACCTGCCTTTGGAAGGGCCCAACACAGTGGCGACTGGCTGATGCAGGCAGTTGCCACTTTCCACTGCAAGCTCGGTCGGACTGTGGGGACACGCTGCCAGGAAAGGGGGCATTTTCCAAATGAGGACAAGTTGTGCATTATACCAACTTTGCAGGAAAGAGCTTAAGGTCTATTCCTTTAAGAAAGTTAAGAGCCAAAAACACAAGGCAGCGGAGGCATGACCCCCAGGCTTGGGCTGCCTTGGGCTCCAGAGAGAAAACATCTTTGAAAGTTAGACTTTTCACTGCTGTTGCTGATAGTTTCTGTATTATGTGAGGTGCAGACTGGGTGAGCGATGAGGAGCCTGCAGAGAAATAAAACACGTTGGAGATTGTAGTCTTTAAAAGGCAACGCTAGAGTAGGCAACAGAGCTAGATTTTGTTGGGCTCTTACTTTTCATTTATATTGGGAAATGTTGGGTCATGTTTATTTTGGTCTGAAGAGATAACTCAGCCACTCCCTGCCTGACTTCCCTCTCCTTGTTTTTTGTTTTGTTTTTTTTGACTCTTGTCAGCCTTGGTCTCCAGTCATTGGATGCTAGGCCATCCTTTCTTGGAATGGGTGGATGCCAACATGGCAAATCCCAGGAAATGTCTCATGCAAAGCTGAGACCATCTTGATTTTCTATTCAGAATAAACGGGATGTTCATGAGCCTTATTTTAAGAGCATAAAGTTTAGGAAGAGTTGGCACTGTGAACAGTTTCAAGGGCTTCACAGGGGCAATGTGTTGTGATAGCCATCGTTAGGATTCTCACTGCCAGCCATGGGGTTGGTCGATCAGTCCTGGTGTTTGAATTACACCAAGGGAAACCCTTTACTCTGAAGAACTGTCCTTTAGACTGTGTAACCATTTATTGTTTGTGTATAAGAAATAAAATCCCTTTTCTTCCCCATTTCTGTCTTGCAATGACCATGTGCCCGTGCAGTTTGTCTCACTTTAGTCTATTGCATGCATTTTTTCTTAAATGAAAAAAAAAAAAAGTAACCATACTTTAAAAGAAAAAAAAGCACTCAAATGAGTTTGCTTGAATTGTTCATAATAACTGTACATGGGACCCTCAACTTTTGATACCAGCTACAAATTTATTCAGTTATAAACTTCACCACCACTAAAATGGGCCCATCTCTAGCTCAAGTACAACAGCTGGTTAACAAGGCCCATCAGCATAACTGTTTAAGGAAGAAAATAAGGGAAAATGGAGGATGGGTTAGATAGCAAAAGCGTAAATTCTGGGACTGGTTTTGTGGACAAATCTTTCTGGAGGGAGTAAGACTCAGGTGGGAGCATGTGGCTTCTGTGATGATATGGCCAGGGTCTACTCCACACCCTTTTAAGAATAATGGAAAACCGGCTGGGCGCGGTGGCTCACGCCTATAATCCTAGCACTCTGGGAGGCCGAGGCGGGCGGATCGCTCGAGGTCAGGAGTTCGAAACCAGCCTGAGCAAGAGCGAGACCCAGTCTCTACTATGAATAGAAAGAAATTAATTGGCCAACTAATATAAATGGAAAAAATCAGCCGGGCATGGTGGCACATGCCTGTAGTCCCAGCTACTCGGGAGGCTGAGGCAGCAGGATTGCTTGAGCCCAGGAGTTTGAGGTTGCTGTGAGCTAGGCTGACGCCACGGCACTCACTCTAGCCAGGGCAACAACGCAAGACTCTGTCTAAAAAAAAAAAAAAGAATAATGGAAAACAGATTCTGGTAGTGGTGCACTGGATTTAAATCACAATCAACCCCTAAAAAGGAAGACAAGTGGTAAAGATAATCAAAGCAAGTGCCACTTGGACCTTTTGGTGACCATTTTTCTTGAACTTTTGAGGAGCCAGAACCCACCCCACCCCCGCCCCCAAGCTTTCAGTGTTCCACCTCCTCGCCCCAATCTGTACACACAACCATGGGTCAGTCCTAGCATTGCAGAAGTGGCAGAGAGATGGCTGGTTGGGTCAGGATCTTATTAGTGGCGCTTACTTACTTGTCTGTCTCTCTTGTTGAACCTGACACAGAGTCTCTGGTCTGGATCCCAGCGATGCTTGGATTAGATTTCCCAGTGGGCTGGCTTAGCACGTTCAGCTGTCTCTCTCAGTTCACCATCCGTGGTTCCAACAGCCCCGTGCCCCGTTTCCCTGCTGCCAAGCAAAAGCAGCTCTGCCTAGGGAAAGGATGTACTGGAATTTTGTAGCCACATGATTTTAGGATTCGGTGGTAGTTGTGGGTTTTTTGGTTTTTTTTTTTTTTTTAATGTGGAAATACAAGTCTCTGACGTTAAAAATGTGAGAATAGCATCAAAGTGTGAGAAAAACTCTCACACTTAGATATTATTCTCACACTTTGAGGAACAAAATAGGCTTTATTGGTAGGTTGTGTCTGCACTTGCTGTAAGTGGAATATATCATATTATTCCTCCAACGTTATGATATAAACAGATAAGAAAAGTTTTGTTAAAGCAAACACTTAACTGGGACATTTGCCAGAACAAAACGACATAGGGAAGAAGACAGTGAACTTGTTACTGTTAGGCAAAACAGAGGAGGAAGGGGACTTCTGATGCATAAGGATTCTTAAGTTCACGCTGGGAGGGTGGCCCTGACTTCAGAAAGTGTGCAGGATATTGAGTTCTGCTGTTGAAGTGATGAAGGTCTATATCACAGTTTCTGATTCAACTAAGGAACTGGTGAATTTCATCAAGGTACTCTTGATCTAGTTCATTCCAGACTTAAAAGGAATGAAGAAACTAATTTTTTTAAATTATTTTTTTTTCAGTGATGAGTATCAAGATTGAACGAGATGATGTTTGGCTCATTTCACAAATAGAAGTCTTCAACCCATCAAATTTACAGTTTCAGCTCTGCATCCCGGTTCTGGTGTCCTTTGGTTTGATTTCTGTTCCGGCAAAGTGTTCCCATCTTGAAAAGGAAGTCAATTATTAACCAAGAGCGTTGACTTTCATGTTCACTCTCCAAAGCCAAGGAGAGAATTGAATAATTATATGCAGATACCTACAAATAAAAACACATTCCCCTTGATTAAACAGGTAGTTAAGACCAAAGGAAGAAGAATTTCTTATGTGTATTTCCTAATACACCAAATAATTGTTTAAATTTTAACAATTTAAATTTTAACAATTTTAATAAACTTTAATAATTTAAATTGTTAACATTTTACTACGGAGAGAAAAATATCCTTACTTGGTGAGTCCACCTGGAATCTCTCCTAACAGTGGTATGTCAAAAGGCATGTGTTTCTTTAGGCAGTAGTCAGTAGAAGATTGGGGGGTGGGAGAGTGAGGAATTGAAGAAGGAAATTACCTGCTCTCTTGCAGGCCCACAGAACTCTGAAAAGTCTCAAGGTGTGGCCCCACCTGTCAGACCTGTTATGTTTGTTGGGCCAAGGACAACCAGAACAGTTTCGAAAACTGTGGGGCGCATCTGGTCGTCCAGAATGAGATATTATGAGCATGTTTGTGTTTTTAGAAATCAACTTTGGGCCATTGCATAGTTTTGGATTATTATTCCTACCCAAGGAGTTGAAAACAGGAATTTTTGCTGCATTCCTTAGGGGTTAATAATAAAGGCTGACACTCACTGAGTGCCTGCTCTGTTCCTGGCACCCTCCTAGGTGCTTTACATGAGTCCTTTTGCTCCTGCCTATAGAGTTTGAGAGGTGCTAGTGTGTCCTGTGGCCTTGTGCATGTAGAACTGAGTCACAAAGTGCTACAGGGAGCTGGTGTTCAAACCCCAGCAGTAGGCTGCAGAGTCCAGGCTTTTGCTAATACTAGACTAGATGTTCTTACGTGGGAAAGCAATTCTTTTAAAAGCCAAATGGATCAGGAAACTTTGCAAAGTTTATTAAGACTATAGGCCATCAGTATGCCTTAAAAGTCCAGCAGATCGCTCTGTACTTTCAGACGGGCCAAACTAATTCTCAGACTCGAGAGGGAGGGACAGAAACTTTCTCAATGAGCCATAAATGGCCAAATCAGGGTGCTTGTCGAGGGTGCCAGGTAAGAGGTCTGGTGCTGAAGGAAAGAAACCCCAGGGATGTTCACTTAGTAAATTGTGGTTCCAGAAATCAGTGACCTATCTGCCTGAGTCTGTAAAGAATCAGGCACCTCATCAAAGAAACCGCACAACGGTTTCAGCAAACCAACGTGGCCTCTCCTTTCAGTTGCATTTTGGCAATATGTTCTCGAGACTTTGCCTTCCTGCGGGAGAATTTCAGTGTGTTTTGCTCTAGTTATAGTTGTATTTTTCATTGAGCCCGATGATGCAGTAGGAAGAAGGGTAGGCTTTAGGAAAGGTAAGGGGGTGGCAGCTAAGCAAATGTTCCCAGATTCCTGGAACTGAAAAGGAACCTTGCGTGTGATGCCAGAGCAGCCAGTCAATTTCAACAAATGGCTGGTTTATTTCAGGCTGGAGGAGAGCAGAGAAGAGGAGTTCATAGAGTGAATGCAGCCGTGGCCCCACAGTTCTCCATCGAGCCAGTGAACCTTTTTGGGCTCTCCTGGGCCATTCTGATGTGTCACTCACCCTGTCCCCCAGGCTTGCCTTAACATTACAGGGCCAGCTGATGTTCTTCCCTCACCAGTCAGCAGCCTTCAACTCTATGGGTTTCTTCATCGTAAGAAATGCTTCTCCTGATTCCTTTTGCTTTAGGTCATTTGGCTTAGTTTTTGTTCCCCATTTGGCTTAGTTTTTGTTCCCCTGACCCCCACAATAAGATGGTTACGTAACCTTGCTGAAAGGGTAAATTTAATTTGTTTTACTGCTACTACAATCATTACCTTAAGTCTTGTGAGAGTTATGCCATGCAGATTTGTAGCTATCCCATAATTACAAGGTTCAGGAAGGTGTTAAGAACTGCTTTCTCTTTATACACCCCCAGGGCATTAGCAGTTACCATGCAGAACCTCATAGAGTGTCTGATTGATATTATTTTATATGCTCATTAATAATTTGGACAGTACTTCCTTTAAAAAAAAAAAGACAACTTCTGTTTGGGGATAATGAACAAAATGTTTCCTTTATAGGTTTTCTAGTATTTACATTTTTACTTTTCGAAAGGTTACCTTTTGAAGCCTCCTTAGTTACTATTAAACTATTGTGTTCCCCTAGTTGGGTGAATCTAATAAAAAGCAGGCTATTTTTATTAACTGCCAGATTTCACAACAGTGGAGTGTTCCATTTTGATACAAAGAGATATATAGCAGGATTTATGCAGCGAGTTCTTTATATTTATAAAAGTGTCAACAGTGAAAACAGCACACATTTATACAGGTCAATCATATAAATGTACCAAGCAAATGGTGGTACCAAATTTATGGGCTGCGTTTCCCCGTCAGCGGTACAGTTTGACCTTATTTATAGAACAGTAGGTAAAGCCAGTGTTTGTTCTTTCAGCTGTTTGCATTTCTGGCAGCAGTTCTGTGACAACAGACTTGGAATGTATCTAAAAGCCAAAGGAAATTCTATTTATGTTTATAATTGCTAAAGAACAAGCCCCGAAGTATTACACTTCATTTTTTTTTTTAGAATTGGAATTATAACACATATTGAAATCTACATTTTCATTATTTCTCTTTTAACATTATTTGTTAGAATATCATGAGACGAGTGATTAAAGATAATATT